TGCAATTTAGCACTGGGACTCCAGGGAATGGCTACAATGCGAAAGAACTAGGCCTGTCACAATATTTACTACAGCAAATATATACAGCTGGAACAATATATTTTTAGCTCAGCATTTATTGTGTGTACATTCTTTGTAAAAGTGGGGAGATTTGGGGTATTTTTTTGTTGTAATACAATAATATTCAAGCTTGGGTTGAATAACTAACTTATATGGTTACTTATATGTTCATTCTGCTATTTATTTGTTGCAGCAGTGGCATAAAGTAGTTTCAATATTATCATTTATCACAGTATATTTATGTAACAATATATCGTGCTCTAAAAGTTGTTATTGTGACAGGTCTAGAAAGGACACAAATGTGGAAGAGTTGTTCAATTCATATTAAGAGAAGTATCAGGTGAACTGAATCGGAAAACTGCTACAACCTCAGCGCCTTGCAGTATTCTCTGGCAATTTTAAGTATGTAGGTAGGTATCCCAGTATAACAGGAAAAAGACAGAAAAAGTTAGGTGACGTAACTTGTACAGATCACAAAAATAAAGTTGGAACTCATGATAAATTCTACGCTCCGAAATAGAAGCTCCATCCCTCTCTCCTCCTTCCTTTCTTGCAGACTCTTCTCTATACATCTGCCCTCGCTGTCTGAGCCCCTGCACTGCTCCCATCTCCCTCAGATAGCGTGCCATCTGGGTGATCAATGGACTTCATTCTTTACAGGAAATTCTCCCATGATGGATTTTTCGTTGCCTTGTGTGCTTTTGTGAAATTGTGGCTGCAATTTTGTTCTGTGTAGAAGGAAAAAAAGGTTTTGAAAGAAGCGCCCGCGAAGAGATACTGTAGTCTTTTTATCTTCTATTTTTTATTTTTTTTTGTAAAATGTTAACAAATTGCAGATGCAGGAAGCACAACGAGAAATGATTCACATGTTGCAATTCCAAAGTTCAACTTGAAATGTCAGTGTTATACTTATCACAAATACATGATCTGTGCCACATGATCTGTCACGTGACTTTGAACTTTATAGGCCATACATATTCATGGAGTCTACAGCTGATCCAAGGGCTTTGCAATGTCAAGTGTTTATTCACACCTATGCTTATCACCATAATATATTTTGAAGCACAAACTATCTGTGCAGAGATATACTGTGATAAATGATGTTATTTAAACTACTTATGCCATTGACACAATAATAATAAAGCAAGATAATCCTAGTAAACCATTTTTAAATACAGTGTATCATCAAAAAGCCTGAGCTGCAACAAATAAATGGCAGAGTGAATCAATAATTAGCAAAAGAAGTCTCTCAACCCTCTAGAGCTCAAATCTTATTCTACAATATTCCAACAAAAACACCGCAAATCTCCCTAACTTTACAAATAAATTGTGCACACAATAAAAAATATATTGTATTATATTGTTCCAGCTTTCATACCTCACCTCACTCTGCACTACTGCCCTTCTGACCACCACCTGCCCCTCATTCACATATCATATAGATGAGAGAAGTGTCTTGCCCAAGGACACAACATTAGTGATCAATGGTCAAAGCTAAGATTGAATCATCAGATTTGTGGGGAAATGCTCTAACCAATGAGTCACTGCTTTTATGAAAAGTAAAATCCAGGATTCATGGTTTGACATGAATACTACTTTGAATTGAACTAAATAGAGGCTTTTTCAGGACACAACTGTAGTCATGTAATTTGACCTTTTTCACTTACTTTGTCATATTCCCTACAGCAATGATGAAAGTCAATAGTTTAATATTTATTGAACCACTCAGTCCTATAGGGAATAAGGAGCATGCCTCACCAGTCCAGTGTACCTGTAGTGTGTCCAGCATGCGACCCCATAAAAAAGCAGTAGCCCCATGATCCCCTCAGTATCTCTCCTGAGCCCTCCCCATCTGCAGCAGTGTGGCTCATCCGTCCTACACGCTCCACTGTGCCTGCATTATTGGCTGTGTGTTTGGACTGGGATAAAGAGCCGAATGGACATTTTTGGGAAGAAGGATCACAGATGGGCCTTGTCAAATCTCTGTGCATCTGGCTCCGGGCCTGTCCAATTTTACACACACAAACACATACTTCACACTATCACTGTGTCCTGTCTCATAGTAATATAGTGTTTTTTTACAGAGATGCTCTACCATTCATTGTATGGGCAGTTATGTTATGAAAGCTGACACAGACGCTAGCCGCAGCAGGGCACAGCGGGCATGGACTCCTGTTGTGGTTGCTCCGTGCCAAGATAATGATGCCAGGGACTGAGGGCCATGCCAGCTCTAATGGTAGCCAATGGCATACCAGAGTAGAGATGCCAAATTTCAGAGGCTCAAACCTGCTACAAGAGGACATGGCGTAATGTTAGTCAGACTACTGTTATTACTCATATCCACTCTCTCTGGACATGTGGTTGTAATAATCATTCATAAATTTACTAATCGTTTATGCTGAAGTATTTTGGTTTATACAAAATAAGCACAGTATGGGAGAATGGTGAATACAATATTTGAATTGTATTCAAATTCATGTTTTGATTATTTTAGAAGATACAAATGTTGGCTTAATGTCCGTGAAATCACAGTGATTCATAATTTAAATGAGTTTTCAACATGACTTTTATTGTGGCAGGATTTCACTGGATAAACTAAAATATGCAAAGAAATTTCAGTATGTTGATTCATTCATATAGTAGGCCTAAAGTCATAGTAGTAATGTTATTGGCCATTTTAGATGGCTTCTAGGCGCAGGCAAAAAAACTACGGTATGTAATTCTAAGGATGCTAATAGGAAAGTGAGGAATAAGTTTGTATTCAAACTGTAAACTGTTTCAAATGAGCCTAATCTTTTTTCACATTTTCAATATAACACAAAAATCAAGCATATTTAATAAAAGACTGAATGAATATTATTAATATAAATAATTACTTGCCTTTGGGTGGGTGAACTGCAGGAGACAGTCCTGTGTCTGAGCAGATTTGGGTGTAAATTGTGTGTCAGCTGTTGGAGGTCCCTGTCCAGCTTTGGGACATATGCTTCAGAAGACTCCTGTGGACACACACACACACACACACACACACACACACACACACACACACACACACACACACACACACACACACACACACGCACACACACACACACACACACACACACACACACACACACACACGCACACACACACACACACACACACACACACACACAGCACACACACACACATGCATGCACACAAACACACATGCATGCACACAAACACACACGGACACATACACATCATCCGAACATCTCAAGGACAAGTCCTGCTGATTAGAGTCCAGAAGTTGCTAAAGTGCTGATGTATCTGACCACACGACCTACCTGTCACTCACCCGATTATAAACCACAGTGAAAATTGATGTTGGCAACATTTCAATATGCATGATGTGCTATGACCCTACTTTGTTTTAACATTGGACAGACTCTGTGGATGGAGTGAATGTATTATCAACTATACTTGAGGTTGTCAATGTGTTTTTTAAAGTGACAAGATTACACATTAAAGGTGCAATGTATAACTTTTCTGGTGGAAAAGATGCAGATGTTATTTCTTCGTTTGGAATGGTTCACAGTATGGTACTTAACCTTTCTATTTTCATGGAGAAGAAAACCAAACCAAGTTACAGGTCAGATCTGTGAAGAGGCAGCCTCGCTCACAGTCAGAATGCGTGTTCTCTAGGTAGTTTATAGCTATAAAACCATGTATAGTTGAATAAATGGAAGGTAGAGCTGTTTAATGTCATAATGTGGAACACTCCAGGCAAAGCAATAACATATCTATAGAAACAAGCAAATGACGTACCCCCAAACAAAAACATCTTCACACCTCTTTTGGTTTTGTTGTTTTATAAAAAACGTGTCACAACAAACTAAAGAGGGCATTCATAATTGCTGACCAGTGACCATAGCAACATAAATCACAGTTCAACCAGTTAACAGAAGTTGTCTTTCCTTTGCTAATTCCTCCAAAATAAGAACATTATTTCAATTTAAACTAAATACACACCAAACCTATGCATGATTTCTTCCACCTTACCCAGATAAATTGAGCAGATGTATGAACACGCTGTTCCCTCACTGCTGTCACCCCCGAGTCCCAGCATATACTCTGAAACTTTCAGACCTTAAACAAGTTTGCAAATAGATGCAGCAGTCAGTGTGTGAATTGCAAAAATTCCAATCTGTCCTGTGTCTTTTCTATTCCCTCCTTTCTCTGTGTGTCATTCCAAGGCTACACTTCCCTTCTTCCATTCTCACCCTTTCAGCTCCCTTGTCTCCTCTTTCCTGCCTTAACTTATTCGTCCATGGCCATTGCCCCATAACCAAACCCAGCCTGTTTATCCATGTTTCTATGAGCTATTTCTTTATTTCACTGCTATTATTTTTTGTGAAGTTTTGCCTCAGTATGCCTCGCCCCAGACTGCGCCACGCCATCCCTCCCTCATTATATTTTCACACTCGGGTACCCCAGGACGTGGGCGCACGCTGCAGCACATGAACGCACTGTCCCACTTTGGTGTTTGTGCATGGTTTGAGCCACCATGGGGTCCTCAGGGTGTCATAATGGAAATCCGTCTGCTTGGCCTCAAATGTTGGTAACATTTTGAAATTGTTTTCTTCAAAATCCACATGCACTAAATATTTCCCAAGACAATGGCAAGGATGTAAAGCAAGTTTTGAATGTAGATATTTCCTCAAGATGCATGAGACAGGTGGGATTTAAAAATAAAACTAACCTAATCAAACCTGTCCTTTCAGAAGTGAAACTTGATTTGATATCTATGCTCTAGATGCTTAATGTGTAATGTTATTTAAATGCTTTATTTGGACAGAAGATGGAGATTTTGTCTTGAACTACTTTGGGTCAACCTACTTGCATGTTGTTGAGGTTGAGGAAACCCAGAAAAGACACAGATGCAAACTCCACTCAGATATGCTCTGTGTGGCCAGGGAATGGTACCCATGAACTTCTTGCTGTGAGTGTAGCACTAACCACTTTTGCCTTTCTTGTAAAAAGGATACACTTTTATATTTTACTATCATTGAACTTGCATGAACTTCTTTAAAATCGCCTCCTTCAGGGAAGCTTTCTTACTATCTAGCAGACATTGTTACTGATTTAGGCTTTGTTCAAAACTACAGTGACTAATCTGTAAAAGAAGTATGGATGCTCGTACTTATGGATATGTGACATTGTTATTCATAGTCTTTCTGGGATGTATTAACTGAGACACTTACAGTTTACAAGTCATGAATACCTTGTAGAACATAATGCTGAGTCTAGCATCAAAGGAATAACAAGTGTCTGAGAAGTGAGGAACCTTGTGGCCTCCTTTGCCCTTAGAAAATGAGATGCAATGGCAAAAACTCCTGTGATGACAACCTACACATTCACAATATTGTTTGCAATAGCATAACTGCATGTAAATGTATGGAAAGAAACTCCCAAAGAGCAATAAGCCATCCCTATAAATATATATACAGTGCATGGCGGTGTAATGCGTTTTGAATGGAGGATTTAAAATGTGTTATACATTAAGGCCGGGTGCTGTGGGTTGCTGAGGCTATCACATTCACAATCACAGACTTCTTAGCAGCGATGTGTTTACGCCCATATCCTCTGTTGTAGGGAGAGTGTGGAAATGTGGTGCACTGTGGCGTACGCCTGTGTCAGCTCGTAATGCATGTGTGAATTTATGGGGAAAAGCTGAGATATGCACGCCTGTATTTAGATTACATTGTGCACACAGCCAATTCATTTCACAGGTCAGTGACAGAGTGTTGCTGCTGTGTTATGACTGGTTTATTAACAAAATAGCAGATTAAGTTTTACATTATACACAGCTGAACTAATTGTGCACTCCATAGATATCACGCAGCATGTTTCTGTATAATAGTTTTGAGCAACATGAAAATTGTACAGCAAAATTAACAAAATGCAATGATATCATCAAGTAGGAAAAATAAATGTAAGATTTAAAGACTTTTGTGATCAAGCAATCTTTTATACATTTAAACTGAAAGCAATGTTTTATAAACATAAAAAGTTATTACCCACAAACTCAATATTCAATGCAGAAGGTAGGCAAAAGTTACACAGTGGACCTTTAAAGCCAAAGTATCGACATCAGTATTGGAATAGAAAAAGCTGGATCAGTGCATCTCTACTTGGCTGAGCTTCAAGAACGGCACTGAAAGTGAAAGGACTGTAAAAATAAACACTCAAGTGCAGGAACATCACCTATTTGCTGAGAAGATTATACTGAAAGTTTCTGTTCAACCCTTTTGTTCATCCATTTTTCTTAATATCGATTATATTCTCAGTTTTCATTTACAAATATTCACCATGTATCTATCTAGCTACACCTATTTGTATGTTCATTAATATATTTGATTGACCTGGGCTCTCCCTCTCCTCCCCCTCCTCTCTCCTCAGTGTTCCAGAGTGTGGCAGTAGCAGCAGCAGGAGGGGGCTCTGGACCAGGTCAGGACCCCCCACAGCCGCGCTTCTCCTCCGCCCTGCCCACCTACCTCCCAGCCCAGTGCCAGCTGACTGGAGCAGACTCCGCCTTCTTCCTGCGAGAGGCCAATCAGGAGGTGATGAGGAACGGCAGCCTCTCATCGCGTACAGAGCCGTTCTTCCTCCACCAGTTGGGGGCCGGTGTGAGGGCGCCCCACTCTCTGCCCATAGTAAACTGCAGCTACTCAAACCTGAGCGCCGAACAGCCAATCCCAGTGGAGCTGTTGCAGGGAGCCCCGCCTCATCTCAGCCTTGTAACCAATCAGGTGACACTCAACTGGAGGGTGAAAGGTCACATCGTAATGTCAAAAGTCGGGTCTACACGGCCGTGGATACAGGTATTAGGGAAATGGCCAATTGTTGGAAAAATTATACAGTAGAGTGATAAGGAAAATTATAGTGAATATACAGCATACAGTTGTATGCATTAACAAAGTCATTACTAATATAGAATAGTGTCTTTGCATGCAAGGAATTTTCATACAAACTGAAATCACAAACCAGCTTTTTAAAAATGTTTTTGTATCTAGTACTCACAGTTTTAGTCAGATGCTTAAGATTATTTTATTGCCATCTTGAGTGTGTATAATGATGAACACTGAACCTGGATGTAATAATCTAATGATACGTAGCACCTGTAGTTCACAATAATAAAACCCTCATAGATTATAGGATATAGACTTGATTGTAGCTGTATTACCTCTGTGTCCGCTGTGTCCCAGGTCCTGTTCTACCTGGTGGGGCGGCGCTGGGATGAGCCTGAGCCCATCCCTCTGAACCTGCTCCCATGTGTGCGCGCTATCGCCGTGAGAGACCCCACTGAATCCTCCCCCTCGGCTGGCTGCCGGCTGCTGGAAAAATCTGGTGTTTGTGTGGTGCGTCTGGAGATCCCCCCAGCTTGGTTCACACCTCCACAAGTGAGAAGACGTCCTCCTGAAGTGGCCCTCCCCTCCCTGGACATCTACTTCTCCATCTTACCAGCAGATGGCTTAGGTCCAGAATGCCCTTCTATTGTAAATGAACCATGGAAAAGCCCAAATGTGGGTCCGCTTGGGGGGCTAGGACTGGGCCTGGGGGGACCGTGGAGCACCCTGGTGGAAGGAGGACTGCAGGACTTTCAGAAGATTGGCTCTGTAGCGATGTCTGTGGGCCCGGTTTCAGCTAAAGGAGACCGACTGAGACTGGATGAGAATGTGGAGGTTGTGATTCCGCCCAGTCCCATACGCCGCGGAAGGATGGTGTCATTTGGCGTCTACATGAAGACAGACTCGACAGTGGAACAGTTCACCCTCAGGTGGGAACACAAACATTACACAGACACAGAACATTACTTTTGCTCTCCTGGGTTAGCCCTCCTGGGTTAGCCCTCTGGTTCATGTAGTATTCAGTCGGCCAGTTTTTGACAAGGATACGAGCAGAAAAGGAGAAGTGACATGGTTATGTGAAAAACATTTGCTCCTGTACCTCTTTTAAGAGTGGCTTAAAGATTCACTAAGTAACTTTGCTAACAGGGCTATCACATGCTGGTCACAAGGTAGATTTATTGCATTGCCTGGAAAGACACTAGAGGTGGTTTTATCTGAAAATACACTTTGCTTCTTAACAGATCTGACATGTAACTTGAACTCTCTACCAGAAAAAGTTGCATAGTGTACGTAGTGTAAGCCATTCTTACAGTTTCATACAAACAGTTAAGTTAAATAAAGATGTTAAAAGGGCCAATTATGACTGCTATTTGCAACATGTAACAGATAAGTAAGCTGACGAGGCAAGGGAGTACATCCAGACTTCTGAGTTCTGTGTTTTTAAATGTGATTTTGTGAGCTTTCTAAAGGAAAATAATAATCAGAGACTGACTGTTAAATAATTTCTTAAATCATTTGAAAACCTGATTGCGAGGCCAAAATCCTGCACAATGATGCATTAACACTTAAATTTCTCTGGTTGTCTGGTTGTCTTTCTGTCACTATCCATCACTCCTCTCTTTATTTTCTTCATTTCATCTTTGCGTATTTCTTCTCCTGCTCTCATCTCTGAACGGTGCTGCCTCCTGAGCCTGATGTCTGTCACCTTTGTGTACCCAGCCTCTTCCAGGAGCCACTAATGCAAATAACAACACATGAATATTCATCAGGAGCAGAGCAGAAGAAACCACTGAGAATGAGAAACAGGGAAAGGGTCAGTGGACGAGTGGAGAGAGCCAAAAAACTACACCCTGCTTTCCACAAACATAAATGCTCCAATCACTTACCTGACTAGCCAGAACCACACGTTTTAAAAAAAAAAAAATCATAAAGACAAGTGGGTCTGGAGCTGTATCCTGTCTTCCTGATTTCAGAGGGTGTTATTGACACACAGATTAACCAACAAACATAGCTGCTTACACTTAAAAAGGGGGAAAAATATATATATATGACTGAGAAACACCACAGATTTTTATAGAATCAACAAGTCAAGCACCAAACTAAAGAAGCTGTATGTTTTGTTCTGAATGTTTATGAGAATTTTCAAGAGGAGATGCCTTCTGCATTTGAGAGACACATGCCACAAATTAGCAACTGTGATTTTATTGTCTCAAGTTTGGACAGAGATTTTTCACGTTCTGTGATCTGATTCTAGTCTTTTCCTGGACTCAAACAGAATGTAGAAGGGACTGACTGGTCAGGTAACCCAATTATTTCATTTATATGTGACTAAAGAGGGTCATGTATGCTTCCCCATGATGATTACTTTATACATTCATGTTTGTTGGTTAGCTGAAAATAATGTTGCACTCTAATAGGTTTACACAAAATATCTCAGTTGAGTCGAAATAACAATCTGAGCTGGCAGAATTATCAAGACGCAAAGGCTGCAGTTATTTAGATAACAGGATGTCCTCTCCAAAGAACAAAATATCCTAGAAAACACTTGCTGTACTAGTTTAGACCTTTACAAACATGTTCTGAAATTCCTGTATTAGTTTACCAGACCATATTTCAATCTTCTCTAAAATGTTATTGTTCCCTCTATATATAGAAAAAAATAGAAATAGAAAAATAGTAATTAGATTCTTTTCAAAACTGTATCCAACCCTACATTTATGTCTCATGATTGGAGCAAATACAGGCTTTAGATTAAGGCTGACAGGTGAACAAATTGATCATGTTATCCTAAGCGCAACTCAGTCTGTTCACATGGTGACTGAAATGAACTATATATTACGACTGCACTTTCCTGACCTTTTGCTAGTTCACCCAAAGTAATTGCTGCTGGATGATAAAAGTTCTTCAGGTTACATAATATAAAGGCCTTATAGGACGAAGAGTTATTTTTGGCATCCCACCTGCTATGACTAACATTAAGAATTACAACTTATTAAAAAACTGCAAACACAACAGGTGCTGGATTCAAGGATTTTATTTTAACGTCATTTCTGATTACGCACATAAACCAGCACCTGTTATATAAAGACAGAAGTTACAACTAACTTTTCATTTGCTTATTAACTCACATAAGTAGAAAAAATTGATTAGTATTAGTATTTGTAGTGTAGTGTAGTGTTTGCAGTATGGCTAGTATTAGTTGATTTCGCCATTTAATTCACAAGAGCACACTGCGGACACATCTTTCTGGAGTCGCCTGCAGGAATCCATGGAAATAGAAAGTTAAAACCATACTTAAGAATTTTCTCAGTGGAGATTTAAAAAAATCTTTTGGAATAGTAGCCAAAACATTTCCATGAAGACAAGCAGGTGAAGGTCCTTCTCCAGGCCAAGTAATTGTCAAGTTTATGTATGCCTGCTTACCGTAAGGACCTCAGACTGTATATACCTGCCGTCACGTTCCAAATAGAAAGTGTTAGGCACTTCGAGCTACATCGTTTCCACTTGACTTTACATTGAAATATTGTCACCCATCTCTCTGTAACTGCTGCAGTCTTTAAATGTTTGTATTAACCTGCTCTACATGATCCTGGTGTTTTTATTTCTCTATTTTGTTATGAAATAAATTAATATTCCTAATACTTCTAATACTAGCGAATACTGTTGTAGTCAAGACTGGACTAATCTAGATCAAGACCAGTCCTTTTTTGGACCCTCACCCACAGTTGGAGAACCCCTTGTTCTAACAGAACTTCCTCTGGCTCTTTTCAGAAAACTGTGAAGAAAATGAAAAAAGTGTGTAGATTTTTAAACCTGCTTTTTTTCAATTTCTAACTGGAGTTACATTCTCTTACTGATTTTGCAGTGGTATTTACCAGCCTCTGCACAGTTACCAAACGTATGTCATGACAAATACAGATGCATTTGTGCACTTTTATTAGGTAAACTTCAGCCACATGTCATGGTAAAGAAGTTTATTGCCAACAGTAGCAGCCCTAATGAAAAATGATCATACTCGTCAAGTGTCAGACCGCGAGTCCAAGCGCCTTCAAGACAGAGACAAACCGAGTCCAAGGACCTTCAAGACCGAGACAAGACCGAGTACAAGCGCCTTCAAGACAGAGACAAGACCGAGTCCAAGGACCTTCAAGACCGAGACAAGACTGAGTCCAAAGACCTTCAAGACCGAGACAAAACCGAGTACAAGTGCCTTCAAGTCCAAGCACCTTCAAGACTGAGACAAGACAAGACAAGACTGTAAGCGGTTTTGAGGCTAGTCTTGGAAGTACTACGACATTAGAGTCTATGGTGAAGACGCATGTTTTTCAGTCCAAAAAAACATCCATAATGAAAAAGAAAACCAAACTGCTTTTATTTGAGTCTATTTTTTGTGTAGTAACTATTTACCAAATATTTTTTAGTGCTCCTCCTCTACCTTGCTTCCACACCTCTTCACAATGAAAACACAATGCCTCTGTGTGTCGAATATGAAAATCTGTGTGTGGTCCCCCTGCAGCTCTTGGCCCCTGCCCCAGTGCACAGTCTCCAGGATAATCTTCCATGTTGAATTCCCTGTTAGACATGTAATAAGCCTTAAGTGGATGTCTGAGCCGCGTGAGGGCCCTGCATGTGTGCGTGCGTTTGTGTATATGTGTGTGTGTGTGTGCAATAATACGCCTTAAGTGTGCTCCATCACTCGCGGGTGATGTGATTATGATAAACTGCTTGTGAGATGGAGGGACACGCAGCGAGGGAGACTGAGAGGAGTTGAGGAGGGAGACAGCCACGCGATGTCACTGAGATTGGAGCTATTCTTCCGTACCTCCTACTTTGTTTCTGAGTCAATTAAACATGCATTTCCTAAATTGGACCAGGCTGCTCTCCCATATCACCTGTCACGATGCTTGTAGGCTGACGCAGCTTTACACCGGTCTTGTCAATTAGTGATGAGAATATTGTGTAGAGGACAGCTCTGGCAGTAAGATGTAACTTAGCTTCAAACTGAAGTCACTTTCTATGGTCATGCAAAATACAATGATAGACAATGATATGGACAGTGTGTGAAGTTGAATTACGGGCTTGTTCTGTGTGTCTGGTATGTGCTAATACTGCCATTCTGAAATGAAGCTCCTGGAATGTAAAATAGCTTTATAAATCATGCTCTGCAATGAGTTAGGTGATGCAACTAACGTATCAAGAGAAATGGGTTTTGATGTAAACCAGTGCTGATCAAGGAATACAAATTTGGACAAAGGGAAAAAGCCTTCTCTAGGATAACCAGCTACACACATTTACTTATTATAATTTTAACTTATAACTCATGTAATGGTAATGTAAGGATTTGTTTGTCCCCATGCATATATGTTAGGATACTGAATAAAAAAAATAATAATAAATTGAATACAAGACTTTGCAAAACATAAGTTCAATTGCTTAAAGGGACCATACTGTATTACGCAATTTTCAGATTTTCCTCATCACAAACAAACCTACAGTTGTGTTTTGTTTTATTCACACATCTTTGACTCACAACCCTGTATATTTCTGTCAAACTGCGAGAATGTCATGTCATGTAGCAATACAGGAAGTGCTTTTCTGTGTTTTTAAACTCCATACACCATCTCTAGAATCACTTCACTAATTTCTGGAATTGCAAAACTACAGAATTAAAGGTAAAAGGTAGCTGTTAACTTGAAAACTATCAATTCACGAGATGGAGCAGCGCATTTTCAGCTTTGGAGATAGATGTAAACAAACTAATAATAAAGGATAATTCAGTGTGCGAATGAAACAAAACACAAGTCCAGGTGTTTTTGTGGAGGCAACATAACATGGATTAAAGCTCACAAGAATCATTGTTGTGTAATATAGGACCTTTAATTAATAAAAGTGCACTTTAGAGATGTGCTTGCTTTGCTTGGGATATTCC